AGTAACCATAATAATAACAACAACAACAACAACAACAACAACAACAACAATAATAATAATAATAATAATAATAATAATAATGATGATAATAATAAATAATATTATGTCCTACCGACAACAGACCAAAGGCAATGTTCCAGACCGACTACTACTGACCTGTGTCCGAGCTCATGAGCTGCTGTGTCCACTGCCTGGAAACCTCCCAGGTCTTCCACGACAGACACGCTGTAGCCGTCAGTGCGACATAGAGTGGAGGTATACGCCAGGCCTGAGGACAGGGACAGGAAAAGTCAACAAGATAGTAGATACTACATTTTGATTGCAACCTTACTTTCTTTTACTTTTTCTTTACTTTTACTTTTTTTCTTCCGCTTGTACCGGTAGGAGTCGCGGGGAGACACAGGCGTCTGTCTGCAGCAAGGCGAGTGGCCTGTAAGAGGGACATCCCGTGAGCTCTGAAGGTGTCTGCCATAGATTCACTCCATCGTCGCCTTGGTCTTCCTCTGGCTCTCCATCCAGAATATTCAATGTTGTATGCTCTCAGAGCTGGATGGTTTGAGGGCATCCGTGTGAGGTGTCCGAACCACTCGACCTTTTGTTTATCAATGTGTTGTAGGACTGGTGTTCCTCCTACTGGTGTCCCTTATGAATTCATTTTTCATTTTGTCTCTTCTTGTTTTGTTGACCGCTCTTGTAACCAAAAGGGCCAATAATAACCAAAAAGGCCGGTGGTAACCAAAAGGGCTGATCGTAACCAAAAAGGCTAATAGTAACCAAAAAAGCCGATAGTAACTAAAAGGGCCGATAATTAACGAAATGGCCTATCGTTAGCTAAAGGACTAATGGTAACCAAAAGGCCGATCAAAACCAGAAGGTCGAGGTAGTCTAAAAGGATTGTTGTGATTTCAACTACTCGTAAAATTGCAGCATTCACCATTAAGTAAAGTAATTTTCTCTTTCTCTTCTGCTGTACATTTAAACTGATCTGTAATAATGATGTTTTCCTTTTATTTCCTTTCTATCTTTCTTTTTCCTCCATTATTCGTCTCTTTCGTAAGTGTTTTAAGCTACAACGTGAATTATCCACCAAAATGTTCAGAAAAGAATGAAGATTTGACATGAGGATTAAACTACAGTAGGCCTACATTAAAAAGTAAGCAGATATGTCTGATGAATGAGAAAAACAAGACAGAAGGATAATGTAGCATCTAGTCAGTATTATAATATAGACTTCTAAAAGTTAAGGCCGCCTGTTTACCTGTGGTGGAATTGGTGCTGGTCGTTCCTGTGGTGGATGTCAAATCGTACCTAGGAGGAAAAAGGAATGTTCACATTAGATTTAACTTTTGACGTTGAAGTGGCATAACAAAAAATTATTTTATTTAATGTGACGCCGCTTTCAGGTTCAAATCCAATCCTAAACTTATACCCCCCCCCCTCCTTTCTCATCAAAGTGATGTCAGAACCAGTTTCAATAAGGTGGTCGTAACAGATATAAGTAAAGGTGCTAGGTCTGTCCCAGAAGTAACATATCCAGTTAAGTAAAACCAACCATTTTTATTTTACAATCATTAAATTTCATACATGTCTGCAGGAACATGTTTTCTATTTAGCAGTGTAGCCGTTGATCTCAATACGCAATGCATATATTCATCCGAAGTAGCCAGCGGACAAACGAAGTGACCATGCACACTTCGACCAAGTCTTTAAGCACTTTGTCCTCGCCTTCAAACCACTGCTCCTTAATCACTTGATTTTGGGGAAGAAATGAAACTCGCAAGAGCTCTAAATGTATGAAAACGGCAAAAAAACCAAAACAACAACTAATGAATTATTACTTTAAAAAAAGAGTCAAACTAGTAATTTAGATAACTAGCATTTTCATAGCACGTATCGCCGCTCAAAAGTAAGCTCTATACGCTTTACAAACTAGCAAACTCACCCTGTGGGTGGTTGAAGGGTGTTTTGGTGTAGTTTGCTCCCTCTTTCCTATCAAACATCTATCTTCCGCATCTCTCCTCCTTCTTCTACGTGTTTGTTACTCTATTGTAACACCTCTAATCCTCAGCACTTAAATTATGACCTTATTGTGCTGCAAGTGCCGTTAAACTATTACTACAACTAAAACCTAAAACTCACCCCGTGAAGACAGTGGCGTGGTCATAAGGAAAGAGGAACTCCCCGCCCTTCCCACTGGCGAACTCCCTGAAGGCTGAAAGAGCCAGGGTGGCGTCCACCTCGTCCCACTTGTCGTCTGCTAAACGGTACTGTTCTGTGAACGAGGACGCCTGGGTCGTCTGCGGGGGAAACAGGGCGGGGAATAGGGGAGGTCATGAACAGAGCGTAAAATACATATCGGGTGACAACAAATAACACGGAGTGTCCATTGAGGGATCGACAAACCAATCGCCAAACGATGGCCCGACTCGTCACCTAAAATCAAACGCGTTTTTTTTTTAGAGGACGATTTGGGCAATCGGTTTGTGCCGCGCTGGCCCCTTTTCTCCTTCAGTCTGGCTAGCAAACCGAACCGAACCGAACTGAACCGAAACATTCGTGACGATGGGCACTGGGTATAAGAGACAACAAACAATGTGGTTTGGACACATAATGAGATTGGGTCCACAACAGTCAGGCTCCAAAGCCTACGCCATACGATTAGACGGCTTCAAGGCAAAAAGATGGCCAAGAAATGCTGAAATGGTATACGTTTGACGCCCCTAACAACAGTGTTAAGTCTCGTATTTAAAGGGCGGGACCTCCGAGTTTAACGTCCATTTCCGAAAGAACCAAACCCAGTGGGAAATTTGGGTAAAGTGCTTTCCCAAGGACACAACGTCGGACCGAGCTGAGGCTCGAACCACCGAACCCGCAATCTCATTATCAAGGGTCCGGTAGCCTAACCACTAAGCTACCAACGCTACCAAGGGCCAAGGAGATGGATTGATGGAGTCAAAGAGAACGTCCAAAGGAACAACTTGACGATAAAAAAAACAGCACACCTGGACCAGGTCCGAAAATTGCATCTCCCCTCGACACCGCGTGGTATAAGAGAACAGAAAAAGTAAAAGTAAAGGTAAGTAATGATGCAGTAGACTCCTGGTCAAGCCAGCTCAGATGATGTGTATGTAATTAATGCAAGGCTGACAAAGTTATTCCATATGAGATTAGATTTGGGTTGGTTTTCTCTGGTGCGTAATATGAGCGAGTTTATTTTTTCTTGCATTGTGTGAGGTTTGTTCCCAGTAATCATGTCATCGATGTAAAGCCTTCAGAGCTTATTCTGTATGGGATACAACGTTATATAAATGTAATCTGTTATTTTAAATTCTCCTCCTCCTTCTCCTTCTCCTTCTTCTTCTTCTTCTTCTTCTTCTTCTTCTTCTTCTTCTTCTTCTTCTTCT